TGTCTTCTCTGTGTCCAGTGTTTATACTGCTTCAGGTAATATCACCCTTGTAAAATGTAACTCCGCAGGTGCTTTGATAACCCTGCAGCTGTTTGACTCTTCTCTGCTCTGTTTAGAGTGTTTGTAACGGATGTTTTTCTCTGAACTCATGATCTGCCGCTCCTTCAGAAACGAAAGTGAAAGTGTTTAGTTGCTGTGTCGCCATTTTAAACAGACAAAATCAACCATTTACAACGCAGAACAGCTTCACCTGTAGTTTAAGTGACTGTTTAAAAGATCAAGGACATTTTTAAGTATTTAACTATTTCCTAATATATTTTGGGGCATCATGAGGCGCAGTGGGTAGCACGATCGCCTCACAGCAAGAAGGTTGCTGGTTTGAGGCTTGACTGGGTCAGTTGGCATTTCTGTGTGGAGTTTGCGTGTTCTCTCCAAGTTGCCATTGGTTTCCTCCGGGTGTTCCAGTTTCCCCCACAGCCAAAACACATGCGCTACAGGTGAATTGGGTAGGCTAAAATTATCCGTAGTGTATGTGTGTGAAAGACTGTGTATGGATGTTTCCCAGTGATAGGTTGCAGCTGGAAGGGCATCTGCTGTGTAAAACATATGTTAAAATAGTTGGCGGTTCATTCCACTGTGGCGACTGCGGATTAATAAAGGGACTAAGCCGGAAAAAAAAAATAAATGAATAAATAATATATTTTTCTTCTTAAGAAAGTCTTATTCCTTTTAGCTTGGGAGGAATGAAAAAAATTAAATGAAAAAAAAACATGCATTAAAAAAAAAGGTTTTTAAGTTTAATATCATTAGAACGTCTTAAAAGAATACTCCCCCTTTTTTATAGTCATACTTTTGTTTTGGAAACAAGCACCTGTTGAGTTAAACAGTTGAGTTTTAACATGTTTTAACCCAATTAGCCGGCATCCAGATAAATTAGACCATTAGAAAAAAAATTATAATTTCTTAGAAAGATGCTAATGGTCTAATCCGAATTAATGATCTATGCTAAGCTAAACTAAAAGTGCTCCCACGAAACCTGTAGATTGGCTGAATGGATTCCAAAAATGGTAAAACTCAACAGTTTAACTCTTGGGGATTTTTAATTTGAGCCTATTTCCGAAAGAAAAAAAAAGTTTTAAGAATTTTAAAGAATTTTTTTCTATTAACTGCCTGCTCTACTAAATGGTTGACCATGTTTTCACTGTTTTAAATAAAGACTGTTAAAGTGATTTAAATAATGGTTCACGCACACAGCATGGTTGGTTTACAAAAAATCAAATAAACATAATCCTGTTGCATTATTACACTTGATTTTGGTTTCTTTTTTCTTTTTTTTACTATAAAACCAAAATCAAGAAAACATGTTAAATGAGAATCTGAAATATTTTATGGCATAAAAAAATAAAGACAATTTAGCATTCAAAAATGTTTTGTTTATTTTTTAAATAAACTAGTCATACATTTCATAATTTCAGATTCTTCATAGTATATGTATTAATTCCGGTACTTTTACCATAAACCTACATATCAACCTCTACCAAATGGTTGACATTTTATAAATTATGCAATGTGTTAAAAAAATGCATTGAGTATGTTAACTAGCGACATTAGGAGTTAAGAAATGCAATACAAAAAATTGTTGGTGGGGCAGTTAAAGGGCTAGAGAACAAACCACTGTTGTCATTGACTTGCCTAATTAACTTAACTTGGCTAGTTAAGTTTAATAACCTAGTTAAGCCTTTAAATTGCACTTTTAGCAGAATACTATTATTTTGCAAAATATTGTGTACTGCCATCATGACAAAAACAAATTAGTAGAAATTAGTTTTGATGTTTTAAAATAGGATAAAAAAATCTTCTTGAACAGCACATGGGAAAAGTTGAATTTTGTATTTAACTGTATATGCATAGAAAAACTCAATTTATATTAGTTATATTAGTTTATATACTCAAATTATAAAAAGTATACTTTTTTTTAATAATATTTAATTTTTAAATAATATTTTTTATATAAAATGACAAAGAATCGGGGTGGCACGGGGGCTTAGTGGTTTGCACTGTTCCCTCACAGCAAGAAAGTCGCTGGTTCAAGTCCCAGCTGGGCCAGTTGGCATTTCTGTCTGGAGTTTGCATGTTCTCCCTGTGTTGGCGTGGGTTTCCTCCAGGGTGCTCCGGTTTCCCCCACAGTCCAAAGACATGCGCTATAGGTGAATTGGGTAAGCTCAAATTGGCCGTAGTGTATGTGTATGAATGAGTGTGTATGAATGTTTCCCAGTACTGGGTTGCGGCTGGAAGGGCATCCACTGTGTAAAACACATGCTGGATAAGTTGGCGGTTCATTTTGTGTGGCGACTTCTGATGAATAAAGGGACAAAGCCGAAGGAAAATGAATGAATGAGCGAACATAAGGTTACCTCCAAAATCTTTTATAGCAAAAAATAATGAGCGTGACCAGTTTCAGGTAAGTCTGCGAGATATACCTCCAGCTCCTTTCCAGAAGGCACGAGGGCCCTCCTCTTGAAGAATCTTCCAGAAACAGTCAATGAGTCCATTGTATGTAGTCTGGCCTGCACGGGCAGCCACTTGTAACCGCGTCTTGATAACATCAGCTGGGGTCACCAGGGATGCGGCCGGCATGCCTAAAGAGAAGTCACACATGTCATGAAGAGTCGGCTTGGAATTCCCTGGAAAAACATACAGAATTCATATCCATAAAAAAGATGAATAATATATAATCACATAGGTATAACTGAATTCTGTCTCAAGGCCAGATGTACAGCTGAAGTCAAAATTATCAGCCCTCAAGTCAGTCAAAATATTTCCCAAATGATGTTCATCAGATCAGGACAAAATTATTAGCCTATTAAGCAATATTGTTTCCCAACTGTCTACAGAACAAACCATCATTGTACAATAACTTGCCTAATTACCATAACTTAACCTAATTAACCTAATTAAGCCTTTAAATGTCACTTTAAGCTGAATATTAGTGTCTTGAAAAATATCTAGTCAAATATTATTTACTGTCATCATAGCAAAGATAAAAGAAATCAGTTATTAAAAATGAGTTATTAAATCTATTATGTTAAGAAATTTTGTCACCTTAGAATTATAAGGTTTTAGCTGACATTTTTTGTCAAAATTGAGTTATTCACATATTCTTATTAAATCACAACTTATTTACATAATGTGATGTTTTGTTTACAGTTGTTTACATTTTAAGACTTTTTAATTAAAAAAACTAAAACGATTTATCTACAAAGTCGAACTCTAGCTTGGTTCTATGAGGTTCTTTCTGTGAGCCAATTAGTATTTTAAATCCACGCACAAGGACCAATCAGGATCAGCTTTCTTTGTCAATTTGCCGGACTGCTCCATTGACAGCGGCAAAGACCAGAAAGACAAGATCACACAAAATCGGCTAAAAAAAACACAAAATTGAAATCTGTGTAAATGTGATGATTGAGAAGCATTTTCAGATGAAATGTAAAATTTTACATTGTTGAAAAAGAAACAAATATTTAAAAAAGAAATTCCATATTAAATGTAAAATATTTTTATTTGTGTGTATATATATGGATATATAAGTGAAACACTTTTCAGTGTTTATTAAAATCCTTTGCTAATTGTCAGTTTTCTTTTAAAGTCTTTAAATTTAATATTAAGCCTTGAAGGGAAAATACTTAAGTTAATTCATGGGGGAATATAATTCAATAAATATAATTCAATAATTGATATAATAAAATAAATATTACCATATTAATTACATAAAATGAAAATCTGCACTGGTCAAAATATGTAGCACAGTCTTGTATACTTAATTTGAACAAGAAAAAATATTCATCCTAAAACATGAAATAAATGCAATCGAAAGCAAAAATGTAACCTTCTCAAGCATCAACTTATTGTTACAACACCAAATTATATATTTTGTGATTGGATTTCTTGAAAAGTAATGCTTCAATGAATGATCTGCCAGATGGAACCTAAAATTTCAAGTAGAAAATGACTTTTCAGAATTAGAAAGTTCTATCTGCATTTACCGTGTTTTTTTTACTCCAATTTCAAATGTAAGAGAACTTTGATAATGTACATTTAGAGTAGATTGAAGGTCTCTGTCATGTTAATGTATGGAAGAGAACTGTTATACACATATTGTTTGCTATATGAAATGCAAAAACTTTGAAGCTCAATATCTCAAAATCTATCAGAACGTAGATAGAGCCTTATAATTCCAAGGTGACGATTTGTTGAAAAAAAAAACTTCTTTCTGTTAAACAGCAATTAGGAAAAAAATAATAATAATTCAGGAGGGCTAATAATTCTGCCTTAAACTGTAAAACGTCAATGTATGCAAACTCTGCAACTCCATCTATGATTATTGCCCAGTGTGCTGTGAACTATTTCTGTCAAATATATTACACCAGCCTATTTAATCAAACATTACAAATATCTCCAATGGGAAAATGGCATTTTTTATATCATTATTATTTAAAGATCCAGACAATGCTTAATAATGAGACTGCTGTATAAGCCCTGTCCCACGCTGGCCAGCACAAAGGCCACTGTGGCACCAATTCAGTTCCTAATAGCCTAAATCAGCGATAACATTGAGTCTGAGCAGCCACACCGCCTGCACGCTGACTCCACCACAGGTTCTAGAGCTTTATTTTAACATCTAAATAAAATACTTGCATGTGAATAATTGCAAGCCTTTCTCAATGCTCACCTGCTTCAGTGGACACACCTTCATCGTTGAGCACAAAGAGCGTAAAAAAAAATCAAGAGAAATATACTTTATGTATTCATTTATTTATTTATTTTTATTGTATTGGCTTTTGATAAGTGATGGAATAATAAACACACAAGTAAACCAATATACTTTTATACCGAAATATCAACAATAATTTAATCTGTTAAGTAACTTGCGGTTTACATTTTTAAATTATTCTATTTAGTGCACAAACATAGCATATACGCCTAAAACTAAATGAAATTAAACTGAATATCAGAACTAAAGAAGGAAAATAAAAAAATAAAAACTAAAGAGATCCAATTATGTGCTTTTTACAAGATGTAGTCTACAGGTCTTAATGATAAGGACTGCCCGATGGCCCGAGGCTAGCATGTGAGATGCTCAGGACTGTAGACAGGATCATTACTAGCCTGATTGGGCCATTGCTGCCTTGTCACTAAAGTTTAATTTGGCCTACGACTATTAATCAATTGCATGCAAATACAGTCTTAAAATCAAGAAACAGTTTGGGTTTTTAAGCCTTCAAATGCTACCTTCTCTGTGATGTCGTAAGCACCTGATTGCTTTTAGATTCCTCTTGTCTGATTGGATGCTGTGAGCATGTTATTTTTTTTCCATAACAACCAGTACAGCGAAGAGACAGCAACATCAAATGATGATGCCGAAAGAAAGCGTTTGTTTCTAATGTATTGGAAGCAGACATTTATGAGGGGACACCACAACTAAAAAAATGAAGTGATGTTTTGTAAAGTTTGCCCTCAGTTTGGCAGGTCAGACACTTTTGATTTGCAATAAAATACCTGCACATTTTCCATACCGCTACTTTTGTTTGCATAACACTTTGAATGTTGCTCATTATACATTTATAAGCATTTTTTAAATATTTAAATTCTAGATTCAAACATTTTTTTAAAATTGTGGCTAAAAAAATAGCTATTAACTTTTTTTGTTGGTGGGGCCAGTGAAAAAATTGGTGGAACAAGTAAAACTCTAAACCACTGGTCCAAATGGGCCAGTAGAAAAAATCTTTAGCATTGAACCCTGGTCTAATATAACTTTCAGCATTCCCCTAAATAAATCTGTGAAGTTTCAGCTCAACACACCTCATGGATCATTTATCATTCCTCATTACTTTGAGTCTCACTTCAAATGCAAATGAGCTGCTGCTGCTCCCCTCACCCTTGCAGCCTTTACAGCAAGTGCATCGGATACTCCAGCAACAACAAACAAAACATCTGCATGTGTTTTTAAACAGTATACATTTGTTTTCTGAGCACAAAGCCATGAGTACAAAAGACTACTAGCATAACTTAATTATTTAATGGCACAATATGTATAATATTTTCATTAAAATGCCCAAATCTCACTAGTATAGGATTATATATATTGTGCTATATGTTATACACCCACTCTGGATTGATTTATAGAAAACAGAGATAGATGGTTTAATATATTGTTTTATAAGGGGCCGATCACACTGAATGCGATTTTGCGTTGAGAGGCGCCTTTTTCGAATGGTTTAGTAATGGTCGCGAGCATTTTGACCGCTGCTTATGCACCCTGCACGCCTCACGTTTTAACCGCCTGCTGCGCCTCGCGTTTTTACCATTGTTCGATCTGTGCTCGCAGTTGAAAAAAGTCAACTCGGAGTGGTAAAAGCATGTTACGTCACTCGCGTCCTTTTCATTCTCCAATCAAATGAAAGCAGAGGCAGGGTTTCCGTTGAGGTGCCTGCAGTGTTTGTGTTGTCATTGTCAAGACAACTACGGAGACTTTTGAGGACTCACAAATCTTATATATCACAATATTATTAAATTGTAAAATTATATTAATATCAACAGCAACACTCTCGCACAATACCCAGCTGCTTTACTCAATGCCTAGCAACATAAAAAGCAGACCGTGCTTCTTTTTTTCTTGTCAACAAAAAAGGCATTGTGGGACACCTTGTGTTTTGGAACGTAAAAATTCGCGTTCGGTGTGATCGGCCCCTGAGACTGCATAGAGCAGCTTTAGAACAGAAGCCTAAAATTCATTTAGTTTGATAAAACTGTGCTGCTGAGTCACTTGATCACAAGTTGATGAACGGGAATTAGTGGATTGTAAGTTAGTGGTAGCTTCATACTACCACGATAAAAAGTTTTGAATACTTTAGCCCATCTATCAGCGTGATTTCTGCAGGAGTCCCATAGGAAGTAATGATGATAAAAATTCAGAGGATCCCTTTGTTTGTTTGCAAATCTTGAATATCACAATATTATTAAATTGTAAAATTATATTAATATCAACAGCAACACTCTCGCACAATACCCAGCTGCTTTACTCAACGCCTAGCGACATAAAAAGCAGACCGTGCTTCTTTTTTTCTTGTCAACAAAAAAGGCATTGTGGGACACCTTGTGTTTTGGAACGTAAAAATTTGCATTCGGTGTGATCGGCCCCTGAGACTGCATAGAGCAGCTTTAGAACAGAAGCCTAAAATTCATTTAGTCTGATAAAACTGTGCTGCTGCGTCACGTGATCACAAGTTGATGAACGGGAATTAGTAGATTGTAAGTTAGTGGTAGCTTCATACTACCATGATAAAAAGTTTTGAATACTTTAGCTCATCTATCAGCGTGATTTCTGCAGGAGTCCCATAGGAAGTAATGGTGATAAAAATTCTGAGGATCCCTTTTGTTTGTTGTAAATATGAGCCCTCTAGTGGTGAAAATGATATACTCTGCCTTTGAGTTCAGGGTATTGCCTTGTGCCTGTTGTAGGGCTGTGATTAGAGCATAGGAGAGACTTCAAAATGTTTTTGTTTGTTCTGAATACGTGCCCTCTAAGGGTGAAAATGATATTCTGTGACTTTAAATTTGCGATATTAGCTTGTGCCTGTTGTAGGACTGTTATTAGAGCATTTGAGAGACTTCAAAATGTTTTCCGGTTGAGTTTGGTTTTCCAACTCCGCGAATTTTCATGCTCAAATAGCAACATTATGCACTAAATGAAGTTAAAAGGATAAGAAGCATAACAGGAGCGCTTTAAAATTAAAACACAATTTTAAAAACCCAACTAATACACCCATTTCCTGTAGAACAGACAGAAGAAGCCAGCTTTGCGCTTTCGATGCCGCAGAAGTCTGCCTGCCTTACCAATAACGGCGCACAAACTGAGCGTGTAATTAAATTTCCCGAAATGACTGTAAATCACTAATTGCCTTGAAGCTGGAATTGCTGATAAATGGTAAACTGAGTGATACATGCCATAAGAACATACCTAACCATAAAAACTTGCTCTACACCATCTGACAGATATAAAACATTGGGGGAGACAGGAATGCTAAGCTCTCCCTGCCCATGTATGGCTTTTCAATCTCGTATCACGCTCGAGTCAAGAAGCAGTAAATCTAAAACGGCAAAAAGGATTAGAAATAAATATTAATTCTCTTTCGCTCGCATTCCAAACCATACTGGCTTGGCTAGGGGAGTCGTCTTTTTAAGCGATGTTTTCTTAAAGACCAACCACAAGAGTAAAATATTAAAAACAACATCAAATCTGGATCGTATTTTATACGTGACGAGGAAAGAGAGACTTGTAAAAATATTGCAGAAGTCAGATCCTGGATGTGCTGGCCTGGTCATGCCAGTATCGTAGGATCTGTTTATTGCTCCTGCACTACGGCTACTTTGGGACCTTTTTTTTTGCCTCTTTTAACACTCTGAAAGCTCAAAGCACAAACTTCCAGCCCCTATATATTAAACAGTGGAAAATATCCGACCCTTGGCAGGCGCGCCGCACTTCAAAACACAGCCTAAATCACTGAGCACTCTAATTACGGCCAACCACAATGGAGCCAGCGGTGGCAGGCGGCTACCGGAGAGTGCGTGGTGGCTTACCCGCCAGCGCCCCTGCCAGCAAAAGCCTGCCAGGTCCCACTCGCCCGTCTTCATCCGTCAGGGCCGCCTTGGTGTGTGCGTAGCAGGGGAAATAAATGGCAGAGAAGGGAATGTCTCTCAGGAAACAAGCTTTCGCACCCTGGGGGCCAAGAAGATGGACACGTTATGTCAAATTAAAGACAGAAACATTTTCAGGCATGCATCACAAAGCCTCGGTTCTCGTTCGGGGTAGTGTTGTAGTGTATTCTGGGAGTTGGGTTTATGGTGTGTTAATGTCAGCCCTCAGGAATGAGTCTGTTTTGTGCCTTGTCACTTCAAATAAACGTTTTTTTCCTTCTTCTCAGAGACTATTCCTGCGTCTGTCACCGTAAACAAAGCCGTACCTTCAACGGGATTGGGTTTCCTCATCTCCAGCATGCTGGCCAGCAGCCAGGAGCGAAGAAACGGAGAGATTTTCCTCTCAGCAGAACGCTTTAAAGCCCGGCTGAAGTGCGCTTTAGA